CATGAAAAATATGTGTGATATAAAAACTCTGCATAGATTTCAATTTTTTGCACCAAAATAAACTCATGTTTTAATTCTTTTTGCCGCAAAATTTTTGTAATATCTTCTCATATAATTATATCTTTCAAAATATTCAGAGAAATTAGTTGAAAATATATGATTTTAATATAAAAGTATATATAAGTAACTGAATAGAAAAAATGTATTGGTACCAATAGGATGAGCATATCATTTATATGACAAAATGTTTAATGAGTAAAAATAATTTACACATTCAGCAAAGTTGCAAGATAAAAAAAATCAACACACAAAAATCAGCAGCATTTTCACACACTATGATTTTGCTGACAAATAATTTGAGAGCTATTCCATTCACAGTAGCTACAAAAACATAAAATGTCTTGGGATAATATAACCAAGGTTAAGAATGACCTCTACAATGAAAATGATGAAACATTAATGAAGAAATTGAAGAAGACACACAAAAAAATTGGAAACACCTCTTGTGTACATGTACTGGAGGAATTGTTATTACCAAAATTCCTATACTGTCCAAAGCAATGTGAAAATTCAATGCAATCCCCTCCAAATACCAATGACGTTCTTACAGAATTGGGGGGAAAGAATCCTAAAATTCATATGGAAACACAAAAGAGTCTTAATAGCCAAAGCAATATTTAACAATAAAAAAGCCAGAAATATCAAAATATCAGATTTGAAAATACTCTGCGGGAATATTGTAACCAAGAGTTTAGAGCCATGGACAGAATAGGAGTCCCAGTATTAAATTCATACATCTGCAACCAACTTATGTTTGACATAGCTACTAACATACTCCCTGGAGAAAGATCAGCTTCTTTAATAAATGCACCTTACACCGTGTACAAACATTCAACTCAAAATAGATCAAATATCTAAAACAAATATCTGAAACAACTAGAGTAAATCACTAGGGAAAACACACCAAAACATTGGCTTAAGCAATGATGTTTTGAAGAAGACCCTGAAACTACAGGCAATAAAAGCAAAAATAGATAAATAGCATATGTGAAAGTACAAAACTTTACACAACTCAGGAAACAATTGAAGAGACAACTGACAAAATGGGAGAAATGTGTGCAAATTATGCATCTGATAAAGGGCTAGCATCCAGGATATATAAAGAGCTTAAGAAATTCAACAAAAACAAAGTATAAAAAGTTCAGCTTAGGAATGGACAAAGGATCTGAACAGTACTTTTCAAAAGAAGAAATATAAATTTCTGACAATCACATAGCAAATTCTTGTTACCATTAGTCATTAAAAACCACAATGAAGGGGCCGGCTCTGTGGCACAGTGGGTTAATGCCTTGGCCTGAAGTGCCCGCATCCCATATGGGCACTGGTTCGAGACCCGGCTGCTCCACTTCCGATCCAGCTCTCTGCTATAGCCTGGAAAAGCAGTGGAAGATGGCCCAAGTCCTTGGACCTCTACATCCACGTGAGAGACCTGGAAGAAGCTCCTGACTCCTGGCATCAGATCAGCTCAGCTCCGGCTATTGCCAATTAGTAAGTGAACCAGCGGATGGAAGACCTTTCTCTCTGCCTCTCCTCTCTCTGTATAACTCTGACTTTCAAAGAAATAAATAAAAAAACCTTAAAAAAAAAAAAACACAGTGAAGTATCATCTCCATTTAGGATGACTATAATAGCAAAATACAAATATATACAAATATGCAAACATAATAGCAAAAACAAATGCCAGTGAGGTGGTAGAACAAATGGAACCCTAATACACAGTTAGTGGCAATGGAGAGTAGTCCAGCCATTATGGAAAATAGTATGGAAAGTCTTCAAAAACCAGAAATAGATATATCACATGATCCAGTTATCCTACCTCTGAGAATATATCCAAAAGGAGTGAAGTCAGAATATAAAAGACACTGGAACCAGCATTGTGACACAGTGGATTAAGTCACCACCTGTGATGGCCGGCAACATTGATAAGCACTGGTTCAATTGCAGATTACTCTACTTTCTATCCAGTTCACTGATAATGTACCTGGGAAGGCAGCTAAAGACGGCCCAAGTATTTGGGCCCTGCTACCCACGTGAGAGACTCTGATGGAATTCCACACTCCTGATTTCAGCCTAGTCCAGGTCCAAGTGCTGTGGCCATTTGAGGAATGAGCCAATGGATGGAATCTCTCTCTCTCTCTCTCAAATAAATAAATCAACCTTTTTTTTTTTTTTAATAAAGTAACCACACTCCACATTTATTTTAGCACTATTCACAATAGCTATGTTATGGAATCATCTTACCTGTATGTCAATGGATGATTGGTCAAAGGAAATATGGTATACGTACACAATGGAGCATCAATCATAAAATAAGAATGAAATTCTGACATTTACAACAACATGAATTGAATTGGAAATCATTGTCTTAAGTGATATAAGCCAGACACAGAAATATAAATACTACATATTTTCTCTCATATATGGAAGTTAATATCTATCTTTCTAGCTATTAATCCTCTATTATCTATCAGTCTTTATCTATATATGTATCTATGTATCTAGCTCTCTCTCTCTCCCTTTATATGTAATATGAAATCTGTGTATATATAGATATTTAAAATATTATCAAGATGGCGCCGCGGCTCACTAGGCTAATCCTCCGCCCGCGGCGCCAGCACTCCGGGTTCTAGTCCCCGTTGGGGGGCCGGTCCTGTCCTGGTTGCTCCTCTTCCATTTCAGCTCTCTGCTGTGGCCCGGGAGTGCAGTGGAGGATGGCCCAGATCCTTGGGCCCTGCACCCCATAGGAGACCAGGAGAAGCACCTGGCTTCTGGCTTCGGATCTGCGCAGCGCTCCAGCTGTAGCGGCCACTTGGGGGGTGAACCAACGGAAAAAGGGAGACCTTTCTCTCTGTCTCTCTCTCTGTCTAACTCTGCCTGTCAAAAAAAATATTATCTTCACTGAATTGCATCTTTTATATAATATTACATCTTTCACTTTTCATGATCTTTATCATGGATCTCATGCTATGTAATATCACTGTGTTCATCCTTACTTTAAAAAATAGTATGTGTGTATATAAATAATGTCTTCATACATAGCAAATATGAGGAAATATCAATAGGTTTTAAATGTATGTGTGCTTTTTGGAATCTTCATCATAATTTTCTGTATTCTGTATTCTTTGAAATATTTTAAAATTAAAAAAGCACCAGAGAAGAAAATATAATATAATATTTTAACAAAATAAAATAATAGGATAGAATAGATAAAATAAGAATTATATTTAAAAAATAAATCTGTGGTCAGTAAGAGTGGACAGAAGGATTAGTGTGTGCATGTAGTGAGAGAGAGAGAGTGTGTTCAGTATGAATATAATTTAAGTCCAAGGTGATATTTCTAAGCAATGGAGAAAAACTGATTTACTCTTAAAAGGTATTAACATAAATACAGTTATGGAAACAACTCCACTTCTCTGGATACTAGAAAAAACATTCATAATAGTCTGGGTTCGTTTTTTAAAAGTAGTATATTCCATTAAAATATAATTTGTGTTAATATTTACTGGAAGTAAACAGGAGGTACAGTGACAATACTGGGAGTTCCAAAATGATAACTTGAGTGGTCAAAGAACAAAGTATTTTTCTGCTTTCATCCTCACAAGGGAGGCATGCCTGGAGATAGGTGTTAATTCAGTAAATATCAATGACTGTGAACTTCAGTGGAGGATATTTTGGGGGGAAATTTTAAGGCAGGGACAGAGGTGGGGAAGCAGTCCTGGCTATTTCAAGGCACCTCCAACTCTGATCTGGTTACTTAGCCATTTCTTGACTGATTATGCCTGGTGTGTCCCAGGCACTTTGCAGAAGAATTTTCTGTGGTATTTTTCTTTTCACAAACTTGTCTTTTCATTGCTCTTTGAATTCATAACATCACCCATGCTACAAATCCAAGTCACCTGCTTCCTTTTTGTAACCCCCCCATATCCAGTCTCCCAGCTAAGTCCTGTCAGGTCTACCTCAACAGTCTTCCCCACCCTCCTCCTTACCTAGGCGATTTCAATAGGCTCTCAGCTTCACTTAATCTCTTCTTACTCTAGACAACTTTGTATACAATACTAGATTCATCTTACAGAAATAGAGGTCTGATCGTGTATCCCATGTGTGTTCTACCTCCCCTACTAGACTGTCAGCTCTTTAGGGGCAGGATCTATGTCTGAATCTTCTTTGTGTTTCCCATAGCAACTTACCAATAAATATTTCTTGAATAAAAAAATTAATACCCCATAATCTTCCCACCATTATTGATGAATTTCCTCCCAGGCTGTATTACATACCTCACTTTTGATGTTCACATAATACTTTGTAGCCCTTTATAACTCTTATGTATTCCAATCAACAGAACATTCATATTCCATTTTATTGCAGATGTTGAATAAGCATCATTATTGACAAGTCCATAAGATTCCATGGTACTGATTTTTATTTACTTTACAAAACTATTTGGCATATTTGGGCTTTTTCATGCTTTTCATTTCTATACAACATAATAACTTGTGAACAATCTTTGCATTTGTCATTTTGGATACGGTGCAGCCTTTATCTAGGTTTCTGTGTAACTGAATAGAGGTATGTTTTGATAGTCACCTTGCTTTAGTATGGCCATATTCTCTGAGATGCTTGCATGGATGATAAATATAAAGGCATTGATTTTCTTTTCTTTTTTCTCTCCTTCTCTAAATTATTGTTTTATTTGGTATTTAAAAGGTTCAGAAAGGAAATGAAAATGGTTTTGTAAAATAAGACCTTAAGAATCAAGCAATTACAGTTATTTTTACATGGGCTAATCAGTATCCTTTTAAATGTGTAATCAAGTGGCATCTGTAATTATTTGAGCCACTTGGCTCATATGTGCATTTCAATCTACTGCACTTGTTTGCTTTGCTTTCCTATTCCTTTAGAGCTTATAACTAAGAGGTGATCTTTATTTCTCCCCCATGAAGCTTAGTTTTGGAGGAATTCCTGTACCGGGCAAACCTGGGACCTTCTTAAAGAAGAATTTTCATGGGTGTATTGAAAACCTCTATTACAATGGAGTAAACATAATTGACCTGGCTAAGAGACGGAAGCATCAGATCTATACTGTGGTGAGTCAACCCATTTTTTTTTTTTTAATATTGACAATTTCTTCCACATTGGGGTAAGTTTTGTTCTTGCTATTGCACTTCCTCACCTTTTCATGTTTGTATCTGCAACTGTTTGAGTCTATGTGAATTTCCCAGTTGACACTGGCCAGCAGGGGCTGAAATGGGGTGAACTGCACTATCGGGAGAAACAAACACATTGGAAGAATATGGAGAATTCAGTCTCCTTGGTATGGGTTATAATCCAGCTGTGGGCAGGATTTGATGTCTATTCTGGGTTAACATTTCTTTATTATCTAAAGGAAATGCAACAAGAGAACTAGAGATTCTATTAAGTCTGTAGTTTGGGAATTACACATCTGTTTATTATGCATTGACATTAAAAACAGGATCTTTTGAATAAACAAGGTGAATTTTGTACTGTTTTTGAGTTTCCTTTTGTAGCATTTATCATATTGGTGAGTTCAAAGCTTTTCTACCTAATGAATGTTTGTCTTCTCCAACAGACCTTGAGTGTCAGGAAGCTCAGAATTATAAATTCTTTTCTACTATTACGTTCACAATGCCTAACACAGGGCCTTGCCTGTGATACTTAGTAAAGTAATGATAATTCCAATCACAATTGTACTTCTGTCTCTTTCTCCTCCCAGCTCATTCAGTTTTTACTTCATACATTTTCAGCTCTGTAGTTTAGTATAGACATATTTTCTACTGCTTTGTTTTTCTGGCATATCGGTTGTTTTATCATTGTATAATATAAAACTCTGCTACTTATGATTTTATATATTCTGAAGTCTGCTTTATTAGATATTCTTACAGCCACTTCCGCTTTCTCTCACTTTATAGCAAATTAATGATTCATAATACACCTTTCAACATTCCTTTTCTTTTAACCTATGTTATTATATTTGAAGTGGGTTTTTTGTACACCAAATAATTGGATCATATTTTAATTCATTCTTCTGGTTTCTTTCAATTGGTATACATTTAATTTATTATGTGTTAGGTCATAGATGCCTTTTCTATTTCTTTTTCTTGTTTATCCTGTTTCATTGATCTCTGTTCTTTTCCCTGTCTTCTGTGTGTTTCTTGAATGATGTCGTTACTTCCAGCTGGATTTCACTGATGCTTGTTAGCGTGTTCTTTAGGCATTATGTATACAAATCTTACGACATTTAACTTCAGCATTTTACCAATTTGAGTGAAGCAGAGGAAACTTGGTTTTTTTATGTCCCTTTATCTTCATTTATTAGATGATGTTTGTGACTGGTATTTATCATCTCTATATTTTTAAAATTTCTTTTAAAATTTTATGTCTTCTTGAAAGCTAGAATTACAGAGAGAGAGAGAGACAGATAGAAGGGTCTTCTATGCACTGGTTCACACCCCAAATGGCTACAATGGCAGGAGCTGGGCCAATCCAATCCGAATCCAGGAGCCAAGAGCTTCCTCCGGATCTCGCATATAGGTGCAGGGGCCCAAGCACTCAGACCATTCCCCATTGCTTCCTTAGGCCGTAAGCAGAGAGCTGGATCAGAAGAGGACCAGCAGGGACATCAACTGGTGCCCATATGGGATGCTGGTGCCATAGGTGGAGGCTTAGCCTACTATGCCATAGAACCGGCCACCTCTCAATATCTTTAGAACCAAATCAAATCATCTTGCTTTTGCTTCAACTGTCAAGCATTATTTAAAGAACTCAAGAGGAGGAGGAAAGTTGTTCATTGTATTTACTTATACTTTTGCTTATTAGTTCTCTGTTTCCTTTCCTGATTTTCTTAGATTACTTCTTTTATCATTTCCTTTTTTTTAACTTTTATTTAGTAAATATAAATTTTCAAAGTACAGTTAATGGATTACAATGGCTCCCCCCCCATAACATCCCTCCCACCCACAACCCTCCCCTCTCCTACTCTCTCTCCCCTTCCATTCACATCAAGATTCATTTTTGATTCTCTTTATATACAGAAGATCAGTTTAGCATACATTAAGTAAAGATTTCAACAGTTTGCTCCCACACAGAAACATAAAGTGAAAAATACTGTTTGAGTACTAGTTTAGCATTAAATCTCAATGTACAGCACACTAAGGACAGAGATCCTACATGAGGAGTAAGTGCACAGTGACTCCTGTTGTTGACTTAACAAATTGACACTCTTGTTTATGGCATCAATAATCACCCTAGGATATCATTTCCTTTCTGATATAATTTCCTTAGTTATTCCATTACAGTACATGTTCCAGTAGTACATTCCTTTTTTTTTCTTCATTCAGTAATTTTTTTATCTTCTTTCCAGTATATTAGTTATTTTTTTAACTTTTATTTAATGAATATAAATTTCCAAAGTACAGCTTATGGATTACAATGGCTTCCCCCCCCAACTTCCCTCCCACCCGCAACCCTCCCCTTTCCCTCTCCCTCCCCCCTTCCATTCACATCAAGATTCATTTTCAATTCCCTTTATATACAGAAGATCAGTTTAGCATACATTAAGTAAAGATTTCAACAGTTTGCTCCCACACAGAAACACAAAGTATAAAATACTGTTTGAGTACTAGTTATAGCATTAAATGATGATGTACAGCGCATTAAGGAAAGAGATTCTACATGAGGAATAAGTGCACAGTGACTCCTGTTGTTGACTTAACAAATTGACACTCTTGTTTATGGCATCAGTAATCACCCTAGGCTCTTGTCATGAGTTGCCAAGGCAATAGAGACCTTTTGAGTTCACCAACTTTGATCATATTTAGACGAAGTCATACTCAAAGTGGAAGTTCTCTCCTCCCTTCAGAGAAAGGTACCTCCTTCTTTGATGACCTGTTCTTTCCACTGGGATCTCACTTTCAGAGATCTTTCATTTAGGTCATTTCTTTTTTTTTTTTTTTTTTTTGCCACAGTGTCTTGGCATTCAATACGGTTTTGATTTCTCCTTCATTCTTGAAAGATATTTCCAGGAGTATAAGACCCTGGGTTGATAGTTCTTTTCCTTCAGTATTGAAAACATTGGGATGCTTCTTCCTGGCATCAGTGGCTTCTGATGACAAATCCATTGTTTTCCAATTCCATTTCCCTGTTATGAACCACACATTTCTCTCCCATTGCTTTCAAGACTTTTTTCTTTAGTTTTCTGAAGTTTTACTGTGCTGTGTTGTGTTGTGTTGTGGATTTCCTCAAATGAATCCTATTTGGATTTTGCAATTTCTTGAATATGTGGGCAATAATGTCTTTTCATCAAAACAAAAAGTGTTTTTACCATTATTTATTTGAGTTTTTTTCAACAGTATCATCAGATTATTTTATGAGAAAGTTATTGATTAACAAAATTTTTAAGTAGCAAGGCACAATAATAAATAAGCATGGTAATCCCTGCTCCTAGAGAACTTTTGTTTCTTTTTTATTAATTGATTTTTAATATTTTTATTTATAGAAAGGAAGCAAATTTCATGTACTTCACATATAACTGTTTCAAGAGCATAATGACACTCCCACTCTACCTTCCCTCACTCCTACCCTCCTTCCTACTGCCTTTCTTTTTTTTTCTTTTAATTTTTACAATGGCCTACCTTCAACTTACTTCATAGTGATAATTTTAAATCTCAGCTTAAAAAAGAATTCAACAAGTAGTAAGTAGAAAACACACTGGTGTATAGACAAGGGCTATAAACAATAACAAAATATCAAAATGTCAATTTTGTGCATATGCATTACGCTTTTGTTATTCTGTTACTTAACACAAATCAGGAAAAGCATATGGTATTTGTCTTTTGGAGACTGGCTTATTTCATGAAGCATTATGGTCTCCAGTTATATCCATTTTATTGCAAATTACTAGATTTCATGATTTTTATGGAATACTATTCGATCATGTATATATGTCACAATTTCTTTATCCAGTCATCAGTTGATGCACATCTGGGTTGACTCCATATCTTAGCTATCGTGAATTGAGCTGCTATAAACTTAGGGGTACAGATAACACTTTCACATGCTGATTTCATTTTGTTTGGATAAATTCCTAGAAATGGAATGGCTGGATCATATGGTAGATTTATTTTCAGATCTCTGAGAAATATCCATACTGTATTCTACAATGGTGTATTAGTTTACATTCCAACCAACAGTGGATTAGGGTACCTCTTCCCCATCATGTCTGATTTTATTAATTTGACTCACCCCTCTTCCTGTTATTTTATTTTATTTATTTATTTTTTGGTTAATTGGGTCAATAGAGCATCAATTTTATTTTATTTTTTAAAAACCAGCCTTTCATTCCTTTCATTTCACTAATCTTTTGCATCTTATTTTTTGTTTCAATTTTGGTTATTTTTCTCTATTTTTTAAAGATTTATTTATTTATTTGAAAAACAGAGTTACACAGAGAGAGAAGGAGATGCAGAAAGAAAGAGGTCTTCCTCACTCTCCAATTGACTGCAAGGGCCAGAGCTGGGCCAATCCGAAGGCAGGAGCCAGGAGCTTCTTCTGGGTCTCCCATGTGGGTGCAGGGGCCCAAGTACTTGGGCCATCTTCTACTGCTTTCCCAGGCCACACCAGAAAGTTGGATCAGAAGTGGAGCAGCCGGGATTAGAACCGGCGCCCATAAGGGATGCCGGCGCTACAGGCAGTGGCTTTACCTGATACACCACAGTACCAGCCCCAATTTTTCTTTATTTTTAATTATTTGTTTCTTTCTACTAATTTTGCATTTTGTTTGTTCTTGTTTTCTATGTCCTTGAGATGCATGGTTAGAACATTTATTTTATGCCTTTCAAATTTCTTTTTTTTCTTTTTTTTTAACTTTTATTTAGTAAATATAAATTTCCAAAGTACAGCTTATGGATTACAATGGCTTCCCCAACCCATAACTTCCCTCCAACTTGCACCCCTCTCGTCTCTCGTTCCCTCTCCCATTCCATTCACATCAAGATTCATTTTCAATTATCTTTATATACAGAAGATCGATTCAGTATATATTAAGTAAAGATTTCATCAGTTTGCACCC